TCTCACGATACAGTGCAAGGCTTTCAATTTTCATTTATCTGTGAGATATAAACACAAAAGTAAGTACTTTAATGTACCTCATCTATATCAAAGAAAGTACATTCTTCTCTAAGTTCTAAAGGGGGAAATACCCTGCTCCTTGCCTATCTTTAATCCTGCCCTGGCAGATACATTGGTACAAGTGCTGACAGCCTGTGCACATGGCCAACCAAATAGATGCCTAAGAATAGCACAGGAAAGGATATACTTGACTAGATTTAGTGACAATCACTGCATTCTCAGGAAAAGGCTCTGGGGGTTGTCTTACCATCCTTAAGCAAAAAGCAAACTGAATTTATGTCCTTAACATATTCAGGAGGTTCTCAGTATGTGCTGGTTGCTTGATTCCTGTCAATGGAATAAGGTCACCTCAGTGTCATCTGCATGAAGAAGCGCTTATAATCTACTTCCATGGAGGCCTATGCTGTGCTGTAATGCAGAGCAAACAGGTTTTCTGCAACTTGGAAGTCTATGACAGTGACCCAGAACACTGACACGGACAAGTTAAACAGAATACAGACAGCTGAGCAAATATTAAAGAAGCCTATGAATTATTAAATAATATTAACATTTTGTACAAGTACAGTGAGTACAGAAGTTGAACTGGGAATGTTGGCAGGAAATCATGAGGAACGTACGCCTGGACTAGATTAGGCCATGCAGAACTCACAACCTTTTCACTAGTTAATCATCATGCAACCTAGCAGGCTGAAAAAATAAATCTGGTTTTCCCACACCATGTTCTAGACCAGCTTTGGAGACTTGGAATTTCCCCAAAAAGTCAAGGTCCTATGAATATTCTCATAAGATATCAATTACTCATTGTTGGTTAAAGACAGTAACTCTAGCAGCTCTAAAACCTTTTCATATTAAGGGAATAAAACTAATTCTATTAGTCTCTATACAAACTACTATTTTGATTTCCGTCTTTGCTTCAACCAAGCAATCAATAAGAAATAATATTTGTAGAACATTCTATAATTAAAGAAGTACTTTTTCTTCCGTATCTCTTCTGCAATAAGAACCTCAGAACACACCTGGTGAAGAGAATATTATTAATATACTTATTTTACAGAGGCACAGAAGAGTGAAGTAAATTTCCTGTATACTAGGAATGCAAATGTTCCTTAATACTTCCCTATAAAATATCTTAAGATTAAACTTATAACTTGGGGTACCTGGGTGGCCCAGGCAGTTAAGTGTCTTTTTTTTTTAAGATTTTATTTATTTATTGGACAGAGTGGGGCAGAGAGCAAAAGCAGGGGGAGCAATAGGTAGAGGGAGAAGCAGGCTCCCCGTGGAGCAAGGAACCCAAGGCAGGGCTCAATCCCCGGACCCTAGGATCATGACCTGAGCTGAAGGCAGACACCCAAGAGACTGAGCCACCCAGGTGCCCCTAAGCATCTGACTCTTGATTTTTCCTCAGGTTGTGATCTCAGAATCATGAGATCAAGCTCCACATTGGGCTTCATGCTCTGCAGAGAGTCTGCTTGTGATTCTCCCTCTCCCTCCTTCCTCTGTTCTCACTCTCTCTCTCAATAAATAAAAAAAAAATTTTTAAAAAGGACTAAACTTATAACAGATAGCAAATACTTTCAAAATCTTATTATTAAAATACTTCATAAGTAAGGCATATCTATCAAATGCCAAAAATTATCTAGTGCTAATAGATGGCAAGGCCAATGCTATATACCTGTATATTGAATTATATAATCGTCTCTGGCCACTAAAAGTTTGCATCCCACCTAAAAGGGAAGTTTGGGGGCTCCTGGGTGGCTCAGTGGGTTAAAGCCTCTGCTTTGAGCTCAGGTCATGATCCTAGGATCCTGGGGTTGAGCCCCACATCAGGCTCTCTGCTCAGCAGGGAGCCTGCTTCCCTCCCCACTCTGCCTGCCTCTATGCCTACTTGTGATCTCTCTCTCTCTCAATCTGTCAAATAAATAAATAAATAATTTTAAAAGGCAAGTTTGTGAATGTCCTGTAAATACTTAAAGAAATAAAGAGTAATGAGAACCGGCCTGGTCAGAGAAGAGCCTGAGCCAAGATGAAACACAAGTGAAAGAGGGAAGGATGCCATGGTTGTGGTTCAAAAGAAGCAAGCGCAGTAGGGAGAGGGTGAAGGAGCCTATGACAAGAGTTTGTTCATGTGGAAATCAGAAAGTGTTCATGCAGCACTTAGTACGGGGCCTTAAATTTAAGAAGCACTTAGGAAAGAAAAGGATGAAAAGGGAAGCTAAGTCCCAAGCAGTGAACACTCCCTAGTCTATCAATCAGATCATAACTGCTTCTCTTGTGAAAGGCAGAAATTTCCCCAAGAAAGTATAACTGCCAGTCCAAGTTCCTGTCTTGTCGGTAGGGGTTCAAACATTTTTTGATTCTATGACAAAGGCAGTCATTGAAAATTTTTAAATAGGAATTTTAATTTAATTTGAATTGAATTGAAATTTACTTTTAAAAGCAAAATTAATCTGGCTCTATGTGGTTGCCTTGAAAGTGAAAAGAGAGTGATGCTGGTGAATATTGCTAGAACCCAGGTGCACCAGGCAGGTAAGGGAAAGTGAGACCCCCAGTAGGGAAGTTTTCAGTGAAAAAGACAAAAATGGTCACAATGACAAGGGCAGCTGGCTGGCTCAGCCAATAGAGCATGTAACTCTTTTTTTTTTTCTTTTTCTTTGTTAAGATTTTATCTACTTATTTGACAGAGAGAGAGAATATAAGCAGGAGTGGCAGAGGGAGAGGGAGAAACAGACTCCCCGCTGAGTAGAGAGCCTGACTTGAGGCTCCATCCCAGGACCCCATGATCATGATCTAAGCCCAAGGCAGACACTTAACCAATGAGCCATCCAGGTGCCCCGAACATGCAGCTCTTAATCTCGGGGTTGTGAATTTAAGCCCCATGTTGGGTGTAGAGATTGCTTAAAAAACAAAATCTTTAAAAAATAATAATAATAAAACAGTAATTACATAGCTCAAATTGTTAGGATGTGATGATTGATAAGATGAAAAAGGGAGGAAAATATACCAGAATTTACTCTATGATTTAAAATCAGAGGAGCTCTGAGGAAACATTGTTAGTAACAGAAACAGAGATCAGTGCCAAGGAGGTAGCAGGAGAATAACGGGACAATAATTTCCTTCATCTCCTCTGATGTGAATGTGGAACAGCAGTTAGTATTTTCAGGTTTTTTTTTTGGGGGGGGGGGAGTCTGGTTTAACAGTTTTTTATCCTTATCCTGGAAAAGAGGATTTTTATTAAAAAAAAAAAAATGGAAGGGTGCCTCGGTGGCTCAGTAGTTTAGGGCCTCTGCCTTAGGCTCAGGTCATGATCCCAGGGTCCTGGGATCAAGCCCCGCATCAGGCTCTCTGCTCAGCAGGGAGCCTGCTTCCCCCTCTCTCTATCTACCTGCCTCTCTGCCTACTTGTGATCTCTGTCTGTCAAATAAAAAAATAATAATAAAATAAAAATAAAAAATAGGGCGCGTGGGTGGCTCAGTGGGTTAAGCCGCTGCCTTCGGCTCAAGTCATGATCTCGGGGTCCTGGGATCGAGTCTCACAACGGGTTCTCTGCTCAGCGGGGAGCCTGCTTCCCTCTCTCTCTCTCTGCCTACTTGTGATCTCTACCTGTCAAATAAATAAATAAATAAAAACTTAAAAAAAATAAAAATAAAATAATAACTAAATAAATAATTGAAAAAAAATGCCTGGAGGTATTAAGACATGTGGCTAGGGTGGACTTGTCCAGAAACCTGACCTCAAGGGAGCTGAGGTCTGAGTTCAACTCAGTTCCAGGACCAAGCTGATGGTGGGTGGATACTAGGGCAAACAGAATGACACAAATTGATGAATGGGCAGGAACACAAGCCACTGCCCTGCTACCCAGTGGGAACATGCCTGGAGTTGGTACTTGATACAAGACTGATTATTTCGTCGTCTGCAATGCGATCACCCTCACCTTTGTTTCCAAATACACCATTCCAGCCTCCTGAACTCAGGAGGAAGACAACAGTGTAACTCACAAAAAAGAGAGGGATAAGGACAAGGGTTTGAAAGGCTTTTTGCAAAGGCTGTTAGCACGTTTTCCACATGATTATTACCTGGTGGCCCTCCTAAAAATGAATACTAACATTGAAATGATCTGCATTGAAGGGGGTTTCTTTCCATTTGTTTTGTCAGGGAAAGGAAGAGGGGTAGTGAGTTCCATCCCGGTTTCCCTATGTATGGCACTGTTTTATCTAAGTTCAACAAAATACTTCGAACTCGGTCTAGCTGTTGTACTTTTCCTAAGTTAACTCTCAGATGTGTCCAATTCAAGTTTTCTAAATAAAACAAAGAGGAAGAACAGCTTAACACATTACAAACGCTTAACCTTATAACGTGCGTTTCTTGTTATATATGCTGGCTCAAAACAAACAAATAAACAAACAAAACACGCTGTGGGCTCGTGGCCTTGAGCTAACGTGTAGCCCAGATGTTACTCAGTAACTTCTCTTAATTTAGACACCCACTTGCACTTTTAAATCTTGCTCCATAATGGGATACGTTTACCGAGAGCACACTTCGAAAGAAGCCCATGAAATGTATTGTGGGAATTGTAGTCCTGGGTGCCTTTCTTTTCTTCCCGGCCCTGGACTCACGCCCTGATTCCGGGATGGTTGAACCCAGGATCTACCAATTAGCTGGGGCCATGTCGTGAGGCCGTGGTCCAACCAGGAAAGCCGGTGTGGGAATCTCGCAAAATTATTGGCCAATGTATGACCCCGGGGGCGGGGCAATAAGGTGGGCGGGAAGACTGCGGCGATTGGGCACAGAGCCCGAGGCGGCGGGCGGGGATTGGCTCCGCTCTAGGGCAGGGAGGCCTGGGAAGGGGCGGAGGAAGGAGACCAGAGCAGGAAGAGCAGCGGCGAGGCGGCGGCGGTAGCTGAGTCGGTGGTGGCAGAGGCGAAAGCGACAGCTCCAGGGGGTGGCAGCGGCCGCGGGAGCAGGATGCGGGTCCGAGTTGGGCTGACGCTGCTGCTCTGTGCGGTGCTGCTGGGCTCGGCCTCGGCGTCCTCAGGTCAGTATCCGCCCCCTCGGACTGGAGGCCGGGAGCCACCGCCCCCCCGGCCTCCATCCCGGGGCAGGGCCGTGGGGGCTCAAGCTGGAGACTCCACTCTCTCTGGTCACACCTCGCACTAGCCTCTCGCTGTCATTCCTCGGGCTTTGGCTGGCCTGGGATAGAGGGTGTGTTTAGGGAGCTAGAGAGGGGAGGAAGGGAAGGGGCGGTCACCCTGCCCACACCTCTCCTCACTTAACAAACTTTACGCGACTCCTCGCGAGTGAGGAATTGACTCTTGGGGAATAAATCCCGAGAGCTGGTTTAGCTCCACAGTGACACCTGAGCCTTCCTGGAACTTCCTCAACTCTCGGACAGATTATGTGCTTGGGATTTGTAAGTTAAGTAGTTGACACACCTGGGGTTATCACTGAGCAGAGCCGGGTCCATCAAAACCAGGATGTTGACAGTGGTTTGGTGGATTGCTTAGCACCTGAGGTGCCCCTTATCTCCTGGTCTATTTTAAAATGAAGACGTTTGATGTAACTGTGTCCACTCTCAATCCCTTTTTAGGAGATATTACCGAGAAAGTGGTGTTTATCTCTGTCACCGTGTTTCTGAGTTGCCCCATGTTTGTTGACAGTAACTTTGTGATTTTTTTTTTTTAAGGAAATCTTGGTCCTTGTAAATTTAAAATGCATATAGCACCTGATTTTCATGTTTTGTATAGATATAAAAATTCATGTGCCTTTGAGTTGATTTTCCAGTTAGCGGCTTAATACTAGGGTTCTGAAATGTATTTTTTTTTCTTAATAGTCCAGTCTGCCTACATCTGAAAACTTCTGTTTGGGGAGTGTTGATAAAGAAGCACTTAGTGTTTCTAAATGTTGGTAAAGAAACAAATTAGTACAATAAAGCTTTTGAATTTTAATCAGTTTAGTTAACAAAACAGCTGTTCTGTGGCTTTAAATTTTTTTGGAACAAGGCAGGGTATAAATGTCAACTTTTTTTTTTTTTTTCCCAACAGAAAATTTCCCAGATGGTTATTTGAATCCCCAAATTATCTGTCCTAGTTGTAAGTCAATGCCATAACGTCATTCTGTTTCTAAAATAAGAGGTCTAAACCTAAAATTCTATCCATATTGTGGTTTGAGATACCATTTCAAAAGTAACAAGCATATGCTAGTTACTTTACTGCCAACATCATGCCTTGAGGTCTGCCTTCCCCCTTTTTAGTAATGGTTTGTATTCATGACCAAATCTCCAAAACTACCTAACTCTTGAAGCACTGCTAACAATTATTTGACCACAGGAAATATGAAATAAACTGTTGAGTGTAATCGATAGAGTACCTGATGGGCCATAGACCACTTGCATCAGAAGTCCTCGTAGGAGTTTAACATGCAGTTTTAGGTCTGGAGCAGGTTGGGGTATCTGTAGTTAAATACAAGCTTCACAAATAATTCTTCACACTAACGTGTAAGAACGACTAGTTAAAGAACATGGTGAGTATTCCTCTGAATTAAGTTTGCAGAATTTAAAGAAAATTAAAGCCCTGCAAACATTTTCCTGCATATTCTGTTAACTAGATTTCATATGTTTAAGAGCTTCACGTCAGTGGAAATGGTACTTGAAGAAGTCATTTAATCAACAGTAGGGATTCTCGGGATGTTGTAATAGATTACTCATACTGAAGTGCTAAATCTTTGGATTGTGTTGATGTAAGCAGAGAACTGGGTTCGAAAATGTCTGCTCGGATTTCCATCGTAGTTCACCTGTGCCAGGGCATTTCTCTGGCAGAGCCAGAATCCAAACTTAGCCAGAACTAAAGCAACAGAGATGTGCTGACAGGTAATAAAGGCACTACTGCACTCAAGTGCAATTATAGTAAAACACTTGTGTGAGGTAGTTTTAGAAATTGAGTACATGGATTTTCAGTTGACTTTTCTTATTCATTAAATTGCTTATGTATATAGGAAGTCAGCCTCATTATTAAAGATTTGCTCCTATTTAAAAATCAAGTCTTGGGCCATAATTTTGTGTGGATTTAAAGTTTGAATGTTACTGGTTACCAAAGCAAGTTGCATATTTACCAGGTATAATCAGCCAACAAAGGGAATCTTGATCCTATCACTGTTAGTAGCTATTATTTCATATCTTGTTTTAAAGGCATATAAAAATATGACATTTTTATTCAAAATACTTTTTTTCCTGTGAATAAATAAAGGAGAAGGTTAAAAAGATACTTCTCCATTTCCTCAGTAATGGAAAATGCTATATGTTTTCTCACTTAGAAATACTTGTTTTCTTATTTTCAGCAGGAAGAGACAAATGGTTTGCTTTTTCTTTTTTCTCCCTTTGTGCCAGTGTTACAGAATTTTTTTTTTTAAGATTTTATTTATTTATTTGACACAGAGAGAGTGAGAGAGAGGTCACAAGTAGGCAGAGAGGCAGGCAGAGAGGGAGAGGGAAGCAGGCACCCCACTGAGCAGAGAGCCCCATTCGGGGCTCCATCCCAGGACCCTGGGATCATGACCTGAGCCGAAGGCAGAGGATTAACCCGCTGAGCCGCCCAGGTGCCCCTACAGAATCTTTTAAATTAGGTCCACCACTAAGTATTCCAGGTAATAGTTCTATTAGATATTCAAAGAGTAAATTTCAGATTGCAGACGATGTTTAATTTCATTATTCTTTTCTTCCCTAAAACATTATTGTGAGTCAACAGGACAGATGGTATTATTCTCTTTTGACAGGTTGAGAAAGAGGAGGCTGACCAAGCTTGCTATTTTGAACCACGTGTATAAAATTAATATGTAATGAAGTGAGGTTTTGAACTTAGCTCTCCAGGCCTTGATTTTGGAGTAATTAAAAATCAGGAGTATTGTAGGATCTGCACAGATTCAGTGGTAAAGCAGAGAGCAGATGTCTGCTCTCTTTTCACCCAACTCTTAGGACTTCTGTGTTTGAAGGTCTATCGGTCTGTTTAGTTTACATGACAAGTTGGAAAATGAATTTATGATCATTACTTTTCCCTGAAAGAATATCCCCAGTACTTTTTGCAGTTTGGTTGGCTGATATAATAAAGATGAAAATTAGTCTTTTTCAAAGGAAAGTGTACAATTCTAAAGTAATGTAAACCATTATATTCTGGATGTGATACTGTTGAATGAGAAATCTGTAACTCTTCATTGAACTCTTTTGCATTTTTTCTTGATGTCCGTATTCTGCTATAAGTGTTACTATTTTTGTTTATGCATAACTTAAGTGTCTTTGTTACCTGACTAATATATATCAGAAATTTCTATATTATAAGCAACTTCTATAAAAGTGTTATGTGAATAGATATATCAGTTTGAGAGAGAAAATAGCTTATGCTTTAAGACTACCATCTGGAGTAGACTTTCCCATTTAGCAAACGAGAAAGAATTCTCTTATTTACTAGTAACCTTAGTATATATTGCTAGTTTGAAGAGAAGAGAGACAGAAGCATGATGCAATTCATGTGAAATAACCCTGATGTCACAGGTTTCAATGACTCTCAGAGTTTAAAAACACATTTTGCTACTTCAATGTGTAATAGCTTGTAGTATCTCAAATGTACATGTCTTCAAATTTACTTATAGGTATCTGTGTTATATACTTATTTGCTGCATATGTGACCTGTTGTGAGAAGGTACTAAATTTCATGATTTAGTGATTAGTAATTTAAGAGCTCTGGCTTATTTAAAGTTTGGGGATATACTATATACATTTACACAATTAATGTCTGCTCTTGATACATTAACTAGTTAATGTTTGTGATTACTTAAACATAGCCACTCATACAACTTTGATATATGGTAGAGATGAAATTTTTTTCCTTTATCCAAATGTTGCTGAGAGTGGAATTTGAACCATGTGTTAGAATTCGGGCTTTGGGTAAAACCTGTGAAGAAGTTAGCATGAAGGATGATTGTTAATTAAGTGCCATCACTACCTAAATGTTATAGGTACTGTGGGATAATACATGCTATACCCTTCTCTTCCCCACCCATCAGAAATAAAACATTTGGAAGGTAGTCTAAAAGTAGTAAATGTGAAAGTAACTATAGTTTAAGTGTTCTTTGAATTCACAGCACTTTTCTTATATGGCAAACCTCACTAGTAGACTAGTTTTTTCAAATATTCAAAAGAAACAAATACTATGAAATAGTGTTGTATGTTATACACATAATGAATTGGTTATACTTTTTTTTTTTAAGATTTTATTTATTTGACAGAGATCACAAGTAGGCAGAGAGGCAGAGGAAGGGAAGCAGGCTCCCTGCTGAGCAGGGAGCCCAATGCAGGGCTCCATCCCAGGACCCTGGGATCATGACCTGAGCCGAAGGCAGAGGCTTTAACCTGCTGAGCCACCCATGCACCCCAGGTTATACTTCTTAAAGTTAGCTCACTACTTCGATAATACAAACTCCAAAGCATATTTTTGTTATGCTTGAAAGAGTTACAAGTTGTAAATAATATTTAAGATATAACCATATGGGGCGCCTGGGTGGCTCAGTGAGTTATGCCTCTGCCTTCGGCTCAGGTCATGGTCTCAGGGTCCTGGGATTGAGTCCCACATCAGGCTCTCTGCTCAGCAGGGACCCTGCTTCCTTCTCTGTCTCTCTGCCTGCCTCTTTGCCTACTTGTGATCTCTCTCTGTCAAATAAACAAAATCTTTAAAAAAAAAAAGATATAACCATATGAAGTAAAGATTAATGGCAACTGTAACACCAAATTTTCTAGTAAAAAGCACATGGTTTTATAGCATTTTGTCTACTGGTCAATTTCTTATATAGCTTATGAGCTTATAACTGAGGTTGACTCCTGGATAAAATCAGATCATTTTAAGAAGAAGAAGAAGAAGGAAACCTAGAGACCATCTAACAGTTGTTTTTTGTAAACTGGCCAGGAATACAATGACCAAACATAAGCATATGGGCATTTGTGCTCAGTGTGTTTGTATAAGATCAGGAGAAAGAGTAGCAAGTAGCCAGAATAGAAGTAATAGCACAAAAACACAAAATAATAGAAAATTAACATAATTGGACAAAGACAAAGCAATAGATATGAATTTGGAAGAAAGATGTAACCAGGGGCTGGATTCATTGTTTATTTAATATAAGATACTGATTTCTTAATAAATAGATCTCACATGAGTAAGTACATGATGGTATGCTGCTAGTTTTTGCTTTTACCTGGTTAACTCTTCAGTGAAGTAGAACACAAATCCTAAATATCTTAGTCTGGCAACTCTTCCGTCGCGTAATAGTAATTGTTAGTGTCCATCTTTAGTAGTCTCAGTGAACAGTAAAATGCTAATCAGCACCAGCACTAAAATAAGCTTTATAACTCTGGCTTCTGAGCAGAGGAAAATAATAGGTGGAACCCTGAACCACAGAATCAGAGATTTATTTTTTAAGTTTAGCAACTCAGTAGTAGAATAAATACGAACAAAAGAATTGGATGGTGTCTGAGGAAGTGTCTCGTTTTGGTGGTGGTGAGGGTGGTGGTGGTAATTGGTCTTCTTACCTGAATAAGGCACTAGATGAAAGCAGTGCCTTCCTGGGGGAAAGAGGAAGAACTGTTCCATCTAACCCCTTGCTTTCCTTTTACCTAATCTTTTCTGTACAGTTGTTGAATACAACCAATTTTTAGATAATTCTAGGTATATTTATCAAGTGTCTGGTTATTATTTGTTGTATTTATCAAGTGCTTTAACAATACCTGTAATTTCCCAACAAGAAGGATGATGAAATTATCTTAAAATTTCTTTACAGATGAAGAAGGCAATCAAGATGAATCCTTAGATTCCAAGGTGTGTACTATAATCTGCATTGACCAGTATTTGATGCCCAATTTAAAAGCATGAATTACGTGTCTTAGAAAGGATATGAAATCTGTGTTTTGAGCAACAGAAAGGGATTAAGGAAAAGAAAAAAGAAAAAAACTATAGCTGGTATCAATACACTAGTTCTTCTGGGGAGAAAAATCACTGACCTGTAGGAGACAGAATAATATTTTCATTCAGAGTGTTGGTTATTATGTTTAATTTTAATTTGAATGTGCTGTGTGTGTAGAGCCTAAAGGCAGTAATAGTCTACTGCCTACTGAGATATTGATTTTATTACTTTTTTTTAGTTTTTAGGGTTTTTTTTTTTAAGATTTTATTGATTTATTTGACAGACAGAGATCACAAGTAGGCAGAGAGGCAGGCAGAGAGAGAGGAGGAAGCAGGCTCCCTGCGGAGCAGAGAGCCCTATGCGGGGCTCGATCCCAGGACCCTGGGATCATGACCTGAGCCTAGGCAGAGGCTTTAACCCACTGAGCCACCCAGGCGCCCCTTAGGTTTTTTTTTTTTATTTTGAAGACTTAACTGCCATTTGTTTCCACTTCTATCAGTTTTTATAAATCTGTAGAGTTAATACATTTAAATTGGTTGGTTGAGTGAATAAGGCTGATTATGTATCCAAGGAGACCATTCAGTTATGATCTCTGATCCCTAGATTTGAGGGAATATAGATGAGAAACAGAAAGTTGTAGTACAGGGCTATCATAAGGGCAAGTATAAGCTATGTTGGGAGTTTGTAGGGGCCCCTACTCCAAGTTTCAGGAGTTAAGGAATGCTTCCTGTGAGAAATAGCATCTAAGTTGAAATTGGAAGAAAGAGTCAGGTTAGGCAAATGAGGAAGGCATGTAATGAACACATGCCAAAGTTTAGAGAGATGAGCAAGTATGGCATGTTCACAATCGAAGGAGATGTATCTGGATTAGTAAAAGTAATGGTCAAGTTGGGTTGGAGACAGTCCTGATACTATTTGAAAACTAAAAATCTCTTATATTCCCAGACTTCTTTGTCATCAGATGAGCCTGTAAAGGACCACAACACAGCTGGCAGAGTAGTCGCTGGTCAGATATTTCTTGATTCAGAGGAATCAGAATTAGAATCACCTATTCAAGAAGAGGAAGAAAGCCTCAGGAGCCAAGAAGGGGAAAGTGTTGCAGAAGAAATCCGCTTTCTAGAATCTCCAAATCCAGAAAACAAGGACTACGAAGAACCAACGAAAGTACGGAAACAAGGTAGTCTGGACATTTTTCTTGCTTTTGCCTAATTTAGGAAGGAGACAAATGAAATTTTTAACTAGTGTAGAAAGATGCAGAAGTCTGGTTTTATTGATTATGAGCCATGTATAATGTGTAGAGTATAGTAGTTAATGATTTTCTAGGTTTTTATATATCAGAGTTATTCACCTAACAGATTTGACCTAAGGTACATAGCTGAATTTGATAATCAAAATTGGATTTGTATTATATTAATATCCTATCATCCTCTTTTTGTACTCCAGTATGTAATTATCTGTCCAAGTGGGACACAAAATAGAAACTCAGGAAAAATCATCTAATACGCTGCTCTGGTTATTTTCAGAATTGTGTTAGGTTTTTTACCACAATAACCTTCCCAATCACCTAGGAAATTGATATAGGTGTTTATCTAACTGAAGCTTACATAAACTTCGATCCCTTCTAACTTCTACCTTCTTGACACCCTCTATTTTTAAATTTAAAACTTGCTCTTTCTCATAGTAGAGTGTGCTGAATACCTATCCTTCTAAGAATTATTTATTAATCCACTCCGCCCTGTCCCTCCAACCTTTTGTCATTTTGTTTATTATTTCAAAGATCACAACGATACCCACTTATTACTCTGTTACTAGCCATTTTTGGAAATTGATCCAGATTTTATCTTTCAGAAATACAACTTTTTTTTCAAAACTAGAATTTTTGTATTGCAAATATCCATACCCATGAATAGAAAAACCATGTCTAAAAAAATTAAAATTACTTTAATCCCATGAGCTAGACATCACAGCTGTTAACATCATGGAGAAAACTCTTCAAGCTCTTTTCTAAATGTATAGTTCTAAGAAGACTAAATTGGGTCAAAATGTATATACTGTTTTATAGCCTGCATTTTGTGCTTAACAGTTTGTCTTGAACGTTTTCCTCTATCATTTATTATTCTTTTAAAATTTGATGGTTAATGGCTATAAAAAATTTTACAGGTAGGAGCACCTGGCTGACTTATTTGGAGGAGCACGTGACTCTTGATCTTGGGGTCATGAGTCCAAGCTCCATGGTGGACATAGAGATTACTTAAGTAAATAAAACTTTAAAAATTTACATGTAAATATACCATAAATAAGAAACAGATTGTTTATAAATTTTTTTTGCTGGGAGATCATTTTAGATGTATCTTTGTGCACATCTATGAAAATTTTCTGAGAATTAGTTTTTTAAAGTAAATTTGCTGGACTGAATGTAAAATTTTAAAAGATATTTGATCCCATACTGTTAAAATGTAAAAAAAAAAAAAAAGGTAATTCTGTTCGCTTCCTTTGAAATGACTCCTTTTCCTGCGCCTCAGCCAAAAATATGTATTACCATTTTTAAATTTTTGCCAAATATTATAGTTTAATTCATTCGTTTTTATTTTTTTATGAGGGAGGCTTCACAATATGTACAAAAGTGGAGGGTGGTCGTGACCCCCTTGCCCATCATCCAGGGTCTCCAGCCCTCCACTTTCTTATTCTTGCTTCATCTCTGCCACCGCATATGCATCTACTCTCTTCTTTACTAGAGTATTTACAGCAGATTCCATGTTATATCACCTGTGTATGTATCTCTGAAAATACGGCTTTTTTCCCCCAGCAAACCACAGTGGTACTATAATGCCCACAGAATTAACGATTATTCTTTAATCACCCAATCCCCAGGCCCTGTGCAGTTTTCCCTGTTGGTTCAGATATCTTTTTAGAACTGGTTGGTTTGAATCAGTAACCACACCAAGATCTTAGGTTTCTCTTAATCTATAACAGGTCTTTCTCCCTTGTTTTTTATTTCATTTTATTTGGTAAAGAAATAATGTCCTTTGTGCTATACAGTTTCCCACGTTCTGGATCTAGCTGGTCGTATCCTTGTAATGTCATTGAACTTACTCACTCCCTGCTGTGTAATCTGTAAACTGGACGTTAACTGTAGCCGCTGAGGTAGATTTAGCTCTGGTTTTTTCCTGAGACTATCTCATAATAGAGTATTGTGTACTTCCTAATATATTACATCCAGAGGCATAGAGTATTTGATTGTTCCACTTCTAGAAATTGATCATTGAAGCTGGGTGATGTCAGCCTGATCCAGCCATTCAGAAGTTCCTCACTGACCTTTCACCCAGAGGCTTCCACAACCATTTTGTTTGTCTGGATCCATTATTTCAGTAGGAATTGCAAAATGATGTCTTTCTGATGTATAATACCTCCTGCATTTGTTACCTGGGATTCTTTTTTTTTTTTTTTAAAGATTTTATTTATTTATTTGACAGAGAGAGATCACAAGTAGACGGAGAGGCAGGCAGAGAGAGAGAGAGAGAGAGAGGGAAGCAGGCTCCCTGCTGAGCAGAGAGCCCGATGCGGGACTCGATCCCAGGACCCTGAGATCATGACCTGAGCCGAAGGCAGCGGCCCAACCCACTGAGCCACCCAGGCGCCCCACCTGGGATTCTTTTATAAAGAAAAACTTGCCCTCACAACTCTTTGTTTACCCTGAAACACAGTCTTTACAAGCAGGATAGATGCTTGGTTCTTTCCCTTGAAATATTTTCAAATAATAATTTGGTGCTCTAGCAACCTCCAAAGGAGGCCAGTAAGTACGTTTTTGTCTGTTTGTTTCTGTTTGCTTTGCTTCTGAGCATCATTCCAGATCTGTGGGTTTCACATATATTTGCTTCACAGGATTGCAGTCCTTTTTCATTGCTCACGTTATCCTATTTTTGCATACTGAAAGTCCCTTTAAGTTCATTCTTTTGGACTAATCATAACTGACTTTTAAACTTGTTTTTATTTTTCAGGCAAGATGGGATATCTTAAATTCATCTTACACATTTCCTAACCCTGAAATGAATCAGCCATTTCTCAAGAAAAAAAAAAAAAAAAAAAAAAAGACAAAACCCAAATTCCTTTTCGTAGGAAATTGCATTTAGACACTACAATCTAGGCATCAGGAACATGCATTGCAACTGAGTTGTCATACTGGTCACTCTTTCTGGTGAATACGGTTAGGAAATGTATCATTCATCCTCGTTCTTCCAGGTTGAGTTAAACATTGTTAAAAAAAAAAAAAAAAAGGTCAGATTGACAAATTGTGAACTCAAAAGAATAAAGAGCTCTTACCCAGTACCAAACTTGACTAATATTTTCAGAGATAATAATTATCACAAGACACAGGTGAAGTGTCAAGAAGTTCAGACTGCCAGGGCTACTCCTAGGTTCTGCTTGCCTCAATTAGGGTGCCCCTGGCCCAGATTTTAACATACGAGGTCTCTAAATGGTATATATGGAATGTCACTTCCATGAAAGGGAGCTATTTCCGTTATAAAACATCTCCAGTTTAGTCTCTGATAATTGCATAGCTTATGTGATATTTTCTAGGAGGTCATTCCTCAAAATATATACATCCCAGATTTACGTACAGTGAGCAGTCTAGACATACTACGTCCATCCTGCTAAAGCATTCCATAGGTAAGGAGAACCCTCCTGGGAGTAAGTACCTTTAGTGTGTTTGACAGAAGGTCTTTCATCAGCATGTTTCTAACATGATTTGATCATGTCACCTTTCTCTCTGTTTATATATAACATAAGTTACATGTGCATGGCTTTGAGTGTGTGCAGTCCCATTTACATTAGAACTGGGTAATATGACTTGCTTCCTTTATTGGCCTCTCATCTGTATCTCTGCCATATTGATCTTCCTAAAACCCAAATTTGATCCATAACTCCTCTATTTACAACCCTTCATTATCTGTGAGATAATGAAAAAACCGTCCATTTGCCTGTGAGATGCAGCACAAACTCCTTAACATGATTCCCAAAGCCTTCCATGTGCAGCATGGCCTCTGTGACTTCATCTCCCACAACTCTGCCCAAGACCCTCTTACAGCTATATCAGACCCTTCACCAATCTTCAAATACACCATGCAGTTTATGCTTCTAGGTCATAACTTGTACAAGTTCTTCCTACTGTTTGGAATACTTCCCTCACCCCCTTGCCCAAGTTTATCATATTTCTACTCATCCTTAAAAATGAACGTAAGTTTCTCCTTTCTGAAGCAGATCTGAACCACCAAGGGCAGTTGAAGAGTCTCATGTCTTTAAGAACTTCCTGCTTGGTGTCCCTGCTTTCCCTTCTTCCCCTTATGTCAGTTCTCTTAGCAGCAGCCAGAGCAGTTCTCCTTCCTGTTCAGAGCCTCCAGTGGCTTCTGATCACATTCAGAATAAAGTCCAAACAAGGCCTTACGTGATCAAGTGCTTCCTCTCCCTCTGACTTCATCTTCTGCCACGTCCCTTCACTGACATGACTCCAGCCATTTTTGCCTTCTTGCTATTTGTTGACGATTTCACACTTATTTCCAACTGTGTCTGGGATCCCCAGGACCACACCTTCAGCTTGGTGATTCTCCATGAGATTCACAGGACTGAGCATATAGTCATATTTAGGGCTATGATTTATTACAGCAAAAGAACACAAAGCAAAATCAATAAAGAGAAAGATACATGGGTGAAGTCTGGGGAAAACAGATGCAGCTTACAAAGGTCCTCTCCCTGGGGAGTCACACAGAACGTATTTAATTTCCCCAGTAACAAGTTGTAACAACACATGTGATATGCTGTCTACCAGGGAAACTGATTAGAGACCTAATACCTTTTTTTTTTTTTTTAAGATTTTACTTATTTATTTGACAGAGAGATAGCAAGAGAGGAGACAAAAGCAGGGGGAGTGGGAGAGAGAGAAGCAGGCTTTCCACTGAGCAAGTAGCCCAATGTGGGGCTTGATCCTGGGATCCTGGGATCATGACCTGAGCCAAAGGCAAATGCTTAAAGACTGAGCCACCCAGGTGCCCCGAGACCTAATACCTGGAGTCATTTTAGGGTGCTGGCCATGTAGGCAGTCTGTGCCCAGCACATACCAAAATTACAGACTTGGACAAGGAAAGCAGGTGTTCACCAGAAACCATATTGTTTGTACACTTG